GGGTCATATAAATATAATTTTTAATAAACTAATTTTTTGTTTTTTAATTTGAAATTGAATGCTACTGACATTATACTCTTTTACTTTTTATTCTTATTATATTACAGATAAATATATGTATTTTCACCTGCTCTGCAAGTTTACTTAAAGCATTAAAGAAGGTTTTGAATGCCGTTTTTAATATACTAATATGACCCATGTTTAAACACCCCATGTACAAATAGAAATTGCCAAATTATAATTAGATAATTTATTTTTACTATTAAAATTTCTGAAGTTTTTAAAATACTTTGCTAAAAATATACATTTTTCTGAATTGATTTTATAATTATTTTGAAATACTTCTGTTATATTGAAATTATTTTGTAATATTTGATTTTATTTTGTAATAAATTTAATATTATTTTGAAAAATTTTACAGATATTATTCAATAAAATAACTGAAATGTAATGATATGAAATAATTCTGTAATATATTTTATATACTGATTTTATTTTAATATTATTTTGAAAAATTTTACAGATATTATTCAATAAAATAACTGAAATGTAATGATACGAAATAATTCTGTAATATATTTTATATACTGATTTTATTTTAATATTATTTTGAAAAATTTTACAGATATTATTCAATAAAATAACTGAAATATAATGATATGAAATAATTCTGTAATATATTTTATATACTGATTTTATTTTAATATTATTTTGAAATATTATTCAATAAAATAACTGAAACATAAATAATATGAAATTATTCTGTAATATATTTTTCATATTGATTTTATTTTTTAATAAATTTAATATTACTTTGAAAAATATTACAAATATTATTTAAAAAACTAATTGAAATATTTTGTAATTGTAATATTATACTTAATTTGAAATAATACTAGTTTTATGATTTTACCTAGTAGTAATTACAGTAGGCGATCAAAAGTATACGGACACCTTGTTTTACAAAATTATGTAGATTACCATATGGGTATATGATATGAATAACACATGATTTTGAATTTAGGATCATGATAAACAAATGCACTTAATTTTTCAGACTTTCCTTTTTTAGTTAATTTTTTATCAAACATGGAATCATTTGCACTAAAATTGTCAAAAACATAAGATTAGGAATCTTGATTTTAAACTTACTGAAAATCTCTGGGCAGATATAAAAACAATTATTTACCCACTTTCTGACATACTTCACTATCATTTTAACTTGAAAAAAATAATAAAGAATGCACAAAAAAAAATATTTCTCAAGAATATATAAGAAAATTAATCAATATGATGCATGGAAAATTGAAGTAATTACTGCCATAAATTAAATTATTAGCGCCTATATTTTTATGTAATTCAATAAATGAAGATAAAATAAATATGTTTACTTTATATTTTTAGTTTTATTTTATATTATATGTATGAGAATTTTTTTAATTTGAGAGATGTCCGTATACTTTTGATCGCCTACTGTACATTTATTATTACATTTATAACTAGTACTCTAGCAACATTAAACTACATTCATTATATTATTATTTTTACCAATTCATAAAGGTTCTAATATCTATTTCTTTTGCAAATGTTGTTCCACCCTCGCATGTAACATTTACATCAACTGTTTGCCGATCCAATTCGTGCAAATCTGCAAGAATAGTATGTCGCCAATCAGTTCGTTTATTACTAGTAATTTCATCATCATAGTACTCTGTACGATTAACATTAAGTTTGACATAGTGTCTAACCATTATAAAAAGAACATTTGAAATGAAATTTTTAAGTAATGACCATGATGTATGATCATTTACAAGTTCAACTTTTTTGACCTTTTTTATTTGAGATTGAAATACATTAATTACATCATCACTTGAAATAAAGTTCTTTATTATGTGTGTTTCACTAGGTAGTTTATCCAAAGTACAACTAAAATATGCATGACAAATAAAAATTAAATAATAATCAATAATGTGTAGTATAACTAATACATACTTATAACGATCCATAAAATCAAATGCAATCATTAAACAATCATCATAAAGACGTGTTTTCCAAGTTGCAAACCAACTTCGACCTTTACTTTTTGCATCTGAGGCATTCAAAGTTACACTGAGATGATTGGCACAATTTCGGGCTAATGCAAGAATTAATTGTGGTGTTGGTTTCTGAATTCGTATAAAAAGTATTTTACATTCGTCAATAAAAAGATTAACTAGAAGATTCTTTAAACAATAAAAAATATATTAGTAAAAATAATCATTTTATGTATATACTGTATATAAAAGGAACTATAATAAAATGTAAAGTGAACTTACATCATTTACTTGAGAAGATGGTTTAGTAATTATCGTAGTATCTTGATTTATTATTTGATTATTAGATGGATTTACACTAGGAGTTGTAAAAGCTGCTAAATTGTTTGATGAAGATACAGCAGTTATCATTTGCATAAAAGCAGAAACCAATGTAGTTATATTATTAGGTTGTTGAGTTATTGTTGCAGTTAATGAATCAGTTGTAACAGATGATGTATTGACTGATGATGAAGTTTGGTTATTAACTGGTGGTTGTAAATCAGATATTTGAGTCGTATCTGTAGATATATTAGCTGATTGTTGTAAATCAGATGCTTGAACCATATTTGCAGATATATTATCCGATAAAGAAGTCTTTTGTTGATCATTAACGGAAATTTCTTGTAATATATCATCAGGAATAGATAAAACGAATTTATTTCTGCTATCACTTTCATTATCAGAATCAAATTCTTCTATATTAATAACATCTTTATTTTCATCCAAAATTTATCATAATAATTAATATAGTTAATTCAAATCGTAACTAAATATAAAACTTAAACTGTTAATATCATATACTATACCTTCATGATCAACTTTAGTTCGCTTATTATGATGTTTTTGAATATTATCATTATCTTTTATTATTTAACAATAGTAATTAGTATATAGTCAATTTTTTCATAGTGTAAATTTTTAATTAAATAAGTATTATCTTACTTGAATCAGATTCTACATCTTTATCGAAATTAATTTGTCTAGTTTTAATTTTATTTTTTGCACTAATATTGCGTCGTGTATTAGTTTTCCCTTTGGTCTACCTCTACCTCTACCCCTACCCATATTTAAATATTAAAAGAAAATTTTATTTAATTTTTTTTTTCAAAATGGATTTTATATCCTTTTATCCAATTTTAAGACTTAATTGGTTTAGTATAGCTGATAAATTAAACTTTTTTATTGAAAAGTACTTTACTAAAAATGGCCAATTTTTTGAAATATTTTTATAGACCTAGATACAATGGCTTTCAAAACAATTGTGCAATTATTTTGTAAAATTTTTAAAATATATCAAGATATATTTGAGGTA